GGATTTCTAGTCATAAGCAGCTGGAAGAAAATTCTCTAAGTGTTCTGTTTCCCCCTTTACACAGGGTAGAACATTGTGTTCTGATACGGAGTAAAATGAAGGGACTAATGACCCAAAGCCAAATAAATGCAGCACTTGTTTTATGGGTAAATTCAGGGCAGGGGACATGGTAGCTACACTTTGCTACACAGCCCAGAACAGGGAAGGTAGTGTCGGGGACCAATTACTCCTGACAATGTTCAATCTGAGACTTCTAGGAGAGAGGAGTCAATCTGCAAAGGCTCCACTCTGATTTCTGACATTTGTGTGGGCCTAGAGTCCATTCTCATGCTGGATCAGATCTCTCAAGGCCCCTGGAGCTCAGCACAGCCACCACCATACACCCAAGAACCCATGGTGGAGACCAAAGCTGGCTACAGAAGCTTCCTGGACGCTACCAAGTGGACACAGAGAATCGGGTGGTGTGGGTAGACTGGAGCCCCCATCACAGGTGCTTTTTTGAAGGTAGCTTCTGCTGTGACTTACGGATCAGGGCAATAGGTTTGCCAGACTAAGTCTGAACTTTGTTCCAATCTTGGTATTGGGGGAGTGAGGATTAGGAAAAAAAGAAAACACAACAGTTAAGAATCAGCTCATAAAGCGAGAGCACACAAGGGAGGGGTGAGGATAGGTAAGACACCTAAAAAACTAGCTAGCATTTGTTGCCCTTAACGCAGAGAAACTAAAGCAGATACCTTAAAAGCAACTGAGGCCAATAGGAAAAGGGGACCAGGAACTAGAGAAAAGGTTAGATCAAAAAGAATTAACCTAGAAGGTAACACCCACGCACAGGAAATCAATGTGAGTCAATGCCCTGTATAGCTATCCTTATCTCAACCAGCAAAAACCCTTGTTCCTTCCTATTATTGCTTATACTCTCTCTTCAACAAAATTAGAAATAAGGGCAAAATAGTTTCTGCTGGGTATTGGGGGGGGGGAGAGGGAGGGGGGCGGAGTGGGTGGTAAGGGAGGGGGTTGGGGCAGGGGGGAGAAATGAACCAAGCCTTGTATGCACATATGAATAATAAAAGAAAAAGGAAAAAAAAAAGAATCAGCTCATAATAGGTTGACAATAATGAAAACAGTTTGCCTAGACTCATTTGCACATAATGTGAGGGAGAAGAACTGAAAGAACTGAAATTAAATGGCTAGAAATGAGAAAAGTCCCTTATCTTTTTCTCCAATAGCTATTTCTGAGAGTTTTCCACTTAAAAAGTTACTTTTGCTGTGCTCTGGCCACCCTCAGTACTTCGTCTATAACAATGACAATTCTTATACCTAAGCTTTACTTAGGAATTATTTCAAATACATTCCTTGATTTGATCCCTGGGGAGGAAGTAGGGCAGATAGCACATCTCCCACACTTTATATAAATCCTGTCTTGTGACATGTGCCAAGGATGAATTCCAAAGACCCTTGGAGAGTGTTCACATTAGGAGCCAGTGTAACTGAATGGAAATTATTCTTTTTCTCCCTATTGAGTGTCAGCAGTGATGATAATAAGTATTATCCTGCAAGACTCGAAGCATATTGCAATTTTTGTTTTGCTTCAGTTTTTAACTCTGAGGAATGGAGAGTTGGGAACTGGATGGGTGTTGGAGGTTAAGACTTCTTATGATTCAGGTTTTACTTCTTAATTGGTTGTTAATTTTCCTTGGAAAACAGTACAGGAATCAGTGGTCAATTACATCACTTCACAAAGCAGAAACTGACACAGGTGCAGTAAGCAGTATGACTTAAAACTATCTCTGCCACAGTTAATAGTGATCTGGATTGCTTTCTACCATGTATCTAGGAAAACAATAAGAAACAAATTGTTTCTTCTGAGGGAGTGGAAGGATAAAAAGTTATTTCCACCCAAAGGCAAAATCACCAGCAGGTGGCACTATAATAAAAGTAATCATCAAGAATAAAGCTTAAGAAATGACAGAGGTCACTATGGGAAGGTGACCAGGAAGTAATGAAGAGGTCTGGTAGAGATGAATCAATTCAGCTTTTAATACACGTGGAAGGAAGCAATGCTAGGAATCTCTCTGTATAGCTATCCTTATCTCAAACTAGCAAAAACGCTGTATCTTTCTGACTATTGCTTATGTCTTCTCTTCAACAAAATGGGAGGACAGGGCAGAACAGGTTCTGCCTGGAAGTGAGGGGGGTGGGGGGTGCGCAGGCCCAAACAATGTATGCATATATAAATAAATAAATAAATATATTTTTAAAGAGGGGTAAATTCAACTGTGCTATATTATAAGAACTTTTGCAAATACCACAATGTATCCCCAGCACAAAAAAAAAAAAAAAAAAAAGAATCCAGATCAGACAGGTTGGGTCTCTGGCCCCATGGGCCCTGAAGCCCCCTCACCAAAGCTAGTACTGGGTGACCAGTGACTGAGGGCAGAAAGCTTCCCGAGAGCACACACGTTGCAGCTTGTGGCTGATCCAACACCAACAAGTTTCTAGATCCTCAATCGGTACCTTTTATTCTAGTGGGTTGTAAGTCTCACTAGAGCTTCTAAACTTCTGCTCTAACCTCTTTGCCCCGCCATCCCCCCTTAGGGACCATTCCCAATTGTCTGGATTTCCCCACAGGAAGCAGGAAATGTGGCAGGCAGGGAAGCTCTTCTCCCCAATACTCACCCTGTAGACACCATGCCCTCAAAGTTCTTCATGTAGAAAGCACTTTTAATGCTCAAAACTCACATCACAGTTTTATAAGCAGCTCCACACATACTATTAGATGCTATTTTAGAGAACGAAGATGAAAAACCATCAGAAAATAATTAGGAAGGCTCCTAGGCCAAGAGCATGGAGACCTAGTATGTCTGTTCTGATTATTCAATGGAATCATCTTTTCATCCCCATGTCCTATCTACCCCAAGTTCCCACAAGGAAAGTCTTACCTTTCTCTCTCCACAGTGCCTTATATACAGTGTGCAAATGTGGCTTAATGATGGAACGCACAGAGGCAAGCACTGATAGGAGGGGACTGAGAAAAGACCAACTCCCATGTCTCCTGTTCCTTTTCCCACATCAGCTACAGAAATTGGGAAGTCAGTCTCCCGCAAGAGACCCTGCTGATTCCAGTGACTGCTCTTGGCACATTAGTGGCTAGGGGACCCATCATGGAATCCTGAAGTACTTGCTGGGTCAGTCAATCCCACCACTGGTGATTTACGTCTGTCCCACAGAAGTGACAGGTGAACCCTGCCCAGAGGGGGAACCTAGAGACTTATGCATCTGCTTTGACCCAAGTGAAGTGGGGCAGACTGAGTAAGGCAGGGCTCCTGAGCTGGCTCTGCTTCTAGCCCAAGGCAGATATGGTTGGGAGGCTACCTACTTTGACCTTGGTCCCTCACCAGGCTGAGATGAGCCAATCCTTCTTCCACAGCTTTATTGGCACCCCAAGATCCCTGGTTGCAAGTAGCTCAACACGGAAATGAATTACCAAGACACAGCCAGCCCACTGGACTGTTTGAGGGACAACTCAAGAAATAGTAACTGCTACATCACAGAATTAGCTGTGCTAATACCTAAAGGGAGAAAGGTGAACATGGGAAGTTGGCCCATGTTAGGACAGAGAAGCCAACAGTCTCTTCCACACTTAGCTCACAGAGTGTGGTGGGAGAAGAGGCCCACAGTCTGCAAAGTGCCTGATGAGTCAGGTAGGAATGTGATATTCCCTGAGTGCACCTGCTGTGCCCACATTATTTCTGCTGATGGTAGACAGTAAACAAACAGGCTCTTCACTTTCACTACTCCAATACAAGGTACACTAATTTATGTGATCCAGGGGCTCCTGCAGAACTGAAAACAAACTTGGCTTTGTGGGAGAATAGGTTTCTGGGGATCTCCTGTAAGCAATCTCTACCTATTTTCCTTTGAAAGTCTACCAGATACAGTGAGAGTTTAAAAAATAAAAAAAGTGTAACACCAATTATTGACCACAAGGTCAATTTCACTAACTTGCTAAGGTATTTTCCTTAAAAAAAAAAAAAAAAAAAAAATCCAAGTCTGTAATGTCCATTAACCCAACATTCCATCTATTTGTTCCAAACTCAAGTTGGTGGGATCATGTACAAGGCACATCTGGCTGAGACAAAAGCATATGAGTCCAATACTTGTAAATTTCATATTTATTATAACAAAAATTATGACATGTCCATTTGTGCATTCTGCTTGAATGTAACTCTGGGTATGTAAATGGTGTAAAGGGCACTATACAGTCATGCTGATTGTGGCAGCAGTAAGGAACACAATTAGAAAGTGTCTCAAAAGCCAAGAGGCTGGGCTGGGAGAGGAAGGACAGAGGTTCTGTGGACACCAGTGCAGGCTCTTACTCAGTGGCCTCAGAGCTGCCTTGTCTTATCTAAACAGAAATGCACTGGCCACTGGCCTCCACTGTGAAGGTGAGCTTGGGGTGGGGACTGGGCAGAGGAAGAGAGTCAGTTATTTAGGCTGTGTCCTTATGCTGAGACTACAAAACATTTTAAGCATCACTATGTAACACTGAGCTATACACAATAGAAATTTCTCAATCAACTGTTCTCTCAGAGAAAATTAGTGAGTCCCAGTGACTTAAGTCACCTGACAGAGTAAAGCAACTCCTAGGAGTTAGTCTCCATATTCTACAAATGTCTATCATTTTCAAGACAAAAAAAGTCTCCCCCCCCCAACAAAAGAAATACAGAATTATAATATTATTAAATCATTTAGCAATGGCAAGTTGCCCTGCTTTTCAAACAACAAAAAGCCATCTTAAAAATATTACATTATCATTAACTGTTTCTTTATAATATATTAAACCGTTTGTTCTTTGTCTTTACAATCTGATATGTTAGGGAAAGAAGTTAACAAATTTAAATCATATTGGTAAAGCATCACTAGAAGAAAAAAGGTAATTAAAAAAAAAAAAAAAAAGAAAGAGAACCTACAGATTAGCTGCAGCGACAGGTTGGGGCAGTGTTTGGGAGAAGGTCATGGAGTAAAATCCCTGGTTTAATGTGAGCCTGAGAGACTCTCGTGCTGTCTTTCTGGGTTAGTTTATTGTTCATATACAGTACTCAGACTGGGTCATAGTGGCGTATCATAGAAGTCCGGCAGCTGGTCTATCTGAAACTGCCGCTGCAGTGCTTGCTGCTGTGGCTGTGGCTGTGGCTGTGGTGGCTGCTGCTGCTCCTGGTGCTGTTTCATGATTTCTTTGACCTCCTCTTCCAGCTCTGGGGGTATAATAAACTGATCATCAGGATCTGGCTGAGCTGGGGCAGCAAAATAGCCTCCAGGCTTTCGAAGAGGCGCGTCTGTGGCAACCTCTATCACATTGTGGCTCCTTTCCTGGGGTGCTACAGAGCCATTAGCCCTGCGGCGCCCGATGGTCCCCACAGCAGAGAAGTCTGCTTTCCTGGGCAGACCTTGCTCGTCCTCGTTGGCGCTGATGACTATGCCCTCATCACTAGCCTCAGCAGGTACCTGAAGCAGGTGCTGCTGTCTCTCCTTCTCCTTGGCCCGGCTGCAGTGGATGTCCACTTCTACCTCCACTCGACTGCCATTGCTGAAGACACCCTCAATTGGTTCTTCATCATCACTGTCAAGGCCGTTGTCGGAGAAGGCGCTGGAGAAAGTGGCGCTGGACAGCTGGCGCTGGAAGGAGTTGGACAGACAGACTGGATGGAGCATGCAGCGAGGCTCATTGGGGTAGGCGGGGCTGCTTTCATTTAGGGCTCCTGATGGGGGCTCATCAGAGGCTGTGGACCCCACCTCACTGCTCATCTCGGAGGTGGATAGCTCACTGCTGATCTCTGACGCCATGCCACTGCTGGAAGATGGCACACCCAGCCCATCAGAGGGCCGGTCCTTGGTCACCATGTTGACTGAGGGGGGGAAAGTACCCGGGCTGGGTGGTGGCACACTCCCACCAGCACTGAGCTCACAGCAGCAGAAGCTGTCCTCGGTGACGCTGAGCTGCACCACCACAGCGCTGATGCTGTCGTGACAGCCGTAGCTCTGGGCCAGGGTGCACAGCTTCTTGGTGGCAGCGAGGGCATCAGGCACATTGCGCACAGCCTCCACAGCCTCCTCGATAGACAGGCTGTCCCACAGCCCCTTACTGCCCAGGATAAAGAACTCATCCTGGGGCGTCAGGAGCACAGACTGCACGTGGGGGCGAGGGACCACACTGGGGTGGAGAAAGGTGTAGCCCAGGATGCGCGTGGACTCTGTCACTCCATTCACCTTGCCATCCTGGAAGAACGGTTTCCAAAGAAACAAGTGAATACAGAGTGCCTGAGGCAACTGTGCAGGCTCCTTTGGGTCCTTAGCTATAGGGCCACAGTGAAGTACTGGGCAGCCTACAATGGAAGCACTGCTTACCTCCTGTGGAGTGGTTAATATATATATAGGCCTGGGCAGTAAGGAGCAAGGCGACAAGAGGATTTCAGCCATTCCATTTCCTGGGATTATATTCACAGTAGGTGGCAAAACCTCTCTATCCCCAAGGCAAACCATCCTCTAGCCCACATGGTGTGCATGCTTACTAGCTCCAGCTAAGGGAGGTAAGTCAGCCTGAGAAACACATGAGGCAGAAACATTTCAATCTCCTATTTCTCTCCGCTAACACATCGAGCACCAGTGACAGGATGTCTAAAGGCTCAGGAGAGCGGATAGGCACTGAGAATGCTTAATGGGTAGAGAAAAATCTTATGAGACTAGCTGAATCAGAGTGCTCATGTTTGGAGAGGCAGATGCTAAAGGAGAAGTGCCAACTGATTTACTCAAACTTGACTTTCTGGGGCAAATGGGAAAGCCAAAGTCTCCCAGATTTAGTTCAGATGGGCTCATGACCAGCAGCAGTCAAAGTTCCAGACCATTTGCCAACAAAAAGATTTTTTTTAAACACATGTAGCTGCCAGGTTCTCCATCTTTTAAGTTTGAGGTTCTCTGGCTCATGCCATGCCTCTATGTGCTCTAAGTTTAACACCTCTTTCCACAGAAGGTTCCATGATGACAAATGCAACTGCTGCCATGAGTCTAGAATGAGAAATTGTTTCTCCCAGAGAATACACTGTCCTTTTCAGCCCCACAGCTGACCTTTACTTTGGGTTTGCAAGGTGTGTGCTTGTTCTCAGGGTGCCTTCCCCAACTTTTCACACAACCTCACCATGCCACCCTTACAAAGCAGGTGGCATTCTTAGAAGTAAAATGAGTGAAACAGGTCTTCAAATACACTTTACATTTCCTTAATTGCAGTGACATAACTGGTCCTCCAAGTGTGGAATTTGTCAACAACTACCCTTGCTGTCTGTCCACTTTAGATTTCTCCCCATCAGAACCAATGGTTTTGTGTATTGTTTGTGTTCTGAGGACACATCTCCAGGTAGAAAAGAAACAAAATAACCAAGTAACTCCTCCTTCCCCTTACTGTTGAGCATTCAGCAATGCAGACAAAAGAGAAGAGGAGAGCCACAGAAAACAAGAGAAAAGGGCTGACCTGCAGAAATCCTTAACCTTCCAAGTACGTTGAGCATATAATGTTAAGCACACATTCTGTACAACATCCAACTTTTTGCTCCCTAACACAGTGTTTCCCACCACTTTAATGCTGTTTCTAGAACTGAGAACTAAATTTACACAGACTCATTTCCATGGAATCCCACAGTGTATCTTCAGTCTTTCTATAGCTTTCTTATGGCCTTTACAAAGCTATGGAAGCAATCTTTTACTTGACTGGAATACAAACTTTCACCAGTCTGTCTCGAACTGTATATGGCTCTGTAAGTTTTATCAATAATAGAAGACTAGGAACTACTTGAGGGCAGATGTGGACCTGTAGGAATCACTGCTGTACCCCCCATATCATTTTTTCAGGCAAATGGCAGGCAACTGAAGCTAGGTGTAGCAGAAAAAAATGGCTGGAGTCCATTTCCGAAGTTTCACCTGCAAGGGACTGTGTAGTGTAACCCAGTGTAACCTGGTGTAGACTTACACCAGGGTTTCTCCATAGCAGTATTATTGCCATTTTGAGGCCAGATAAGTATTTGTTGTAAGGACGGTCCCCTGCATTGTAGGATACTCAGTAGTGTCCCCACCCTCTCTTCATGATGTGCCAACAGCATTCTCTGCCTAGTTGTGATGGCCCACAGTATCTCTAGATGTTGCCAAATGTTCTGGGGCAGGGGAGACACACAACGAAAGTGCCCCCAGGTGAGAACTACATTACTCCAATGGAACATTCACTGCATTACTAAATGGAACAGGAGACATGAAACAAAGTAAACAGTTACATTTACTTAGACATTCATAGTTTACAAGTCATACTAGCCTTGTGAAACTGGACAGATACATTACTATTTCCACTTTACAGATGAAAAAACTGAGATTTAGAGAGGTTTAAAGGTCATTCATAGCTGAGATAGAAACTATCAGTATGATTTCAAGAGCAGAGCTGTCAACCACCCAACCACCACCTTTGAAGAATGGTTGTAAGCATCAAATGAGATGATGCCCACGAAGCACTCTGCAGACATGGCAATTAATAAATGTTTTTAATATTCTATGTTATAATATCTATAGAAGTATAATATAGGGAATTCACTATATAACACTATGGATTTGGAATTCTTATTTTAAGACAACTTCAAAAATGTCCTTTGAAGGCAAACGGTCTCTTAACTGGTTTCTTCCATGCCCTGGCTGCTGTTTCCTGGCCATCTGAGGAAAACCCCTCTCCACTCACCTCAGTGACAATGGCCTTGTGCTGCTTAATTCTCTTCATCTCTTCTTCACAGCTTATGACGTAAGATCTGGACAGAGGCAGTGGCTTCCCATTTCGACAGAGAACAGTCTGGCACTTGCCCACATTAGCAGAGGTCAAGGTAAAGGATCCTCCTGGGTCCATAGGGTCATGTTTGATATGACAAAGAACAGCAGCACCTCCAAGTTTCTGCCCAGCAGTTCCAAGTTTCCTGTAATCCAAAGAGAAGCGGGGAGAACTCAAACAACTCATCATATGCCAATTTTGCTAGCTCAAGAAGATGACTGTACCACACGAGACAGGGCCAGGAAGGAAACAGCTGGATTTGACTCTACCTCTGTCATCAAAGCACACTCAACTTAACTGAGGAAGAGTCCTTGGAGTGCAACATCACACTCACCTACACAGAGATGTCTGCTTGCATCTAGGGGAAGCACACTTTTCCATTGAAAGCCACAGTAGCTGGTCTGTAAGAAAGGAGCCTTTGAACTGCTGTGCCCGGCCTGCTGCCCCACGTCAATCATTCTGCCCTAGCAACACACTACAAAGATGGCAAGACATTACTACTTCTTTTTCCATCTACTTCTCCAAACCCACTCTGTTCCCAGGAGAGGAAGATTGAAGGGTCACATGATGTACACATGAGTGTGCATACACAATTTTCAGAATAGCCTGCCTGCCTTCTTCCTTCCAAAGGATGCTTGCTGGCATAAGCCTTAGGAATTGGATTGCTGTTGCTCTTCACCTATACAGCCAAGACTTTCTGAATCAGAACTATCTAGTCTAGAAAATGTACAGAAAAGACATTATGGCAATCAAACAGCAAGTGCTTATGATTTAACCTTTTACTCATGACCATTAATCCATGAACTTGTTGAATATATGCATCACCTACAAATTCTTACGATCAGAAAGAACAAAGAACTCTAATGAGCCCCACTTATGGTTATTCCCCAAGCCCTGCTGTTTCCCAGCCTTCCTATTTTACCAGGGCAAGGCAGACCCCTTGTCAGCTCCTACCAGCTTCTAAGTTAAGCAGCTGGCAACAGCAGCAATGGACATGCGTTAGGAGACCAGGCACAAAGAATATACAGGTCCCCAAGGAATGGAGAGCTCATCACAGTCCTGTAGTACCGTGGTAACAATTATAGAAAATGAGAAGCACACAAAAGATCCTACAGCTGGGACTATAATTTGGGTCTCTAAATTCAAACTTCCAGACACCCATAACCAGATTTGGCTTTAGGTTTTTCCAAGGCAGTTCTACTTTCTTTCAAAGGCACAAAGATTTGTGAAAAGTACAGCTAGTAATCAGAGTTTGGGGTTCTCAGTTTTTAATTCTTATCTAATGCTTGAGCTCAGTAAAAAGTAGGCCTCCTGGGGGTTGTGAAGTGTGTGTGTTTATGTACATGTGTGAGCATGTGACACAGAGTCTCACTGCTTGAGGACAAATATTGGCCACACTACCTATTAGCCTTTTAGGGCACCTCTCTGTACCTCAGCTTCTTATTCAAAAAATAAGAATGGTAACAAGACCTATCTTGCTGGGGAAAATTTGTGACATCTAAGGTATTTAGAATAATGATTGTACACATGAAGAGCCTGCTAAATATTAGCTCCTACCATTGTTCAACTGTAATTGTTGTGCCCACTGGGAATCTGACAGAGGTGAGTCTGGCAGCCAGGACCCTCACCAGATGGCTTGCACTAGGCTCTGTAAGAAAAACCACTCACAGCTCAGACACAACTCTGAAGGCTGTGGAGGATGGCATTCCACAGCAGACCCTGTCTACCCTGGTTACAAAGCCACTTCTTCTGGCAGACTATCGAGGGAGAGGAAAAGCAGGGGAAGAAGCGAGATCATCACTGATGCCAAGAGGACACTCATTACTCTGGGTCCCACAAGAGCAACAGTCTGTAATACAGTATTTATAGACAGGTGATTCCTTTACAATCTATAAGACCCTATGGTGACAAGAGAATGAGCAATTCTTTGAATGAGGGAGTTTTTATAACATTCAGCCTCAAGACTCCAAACATCACTCCACAATTCCTGCAGTGACCAAAACTCTGTTGCCAGTTAAAGTGCCAGGCAGTGGCCTAGGAGTCTAATAGTGATTCTGTCTTGAACACTGAATAAAGAGGAAAACAACTTATAAAGGATGTTTTAATCCCTGGACTAAAACCTGACCACTTCAATTTCAAAAAAGTTTGTATAATCATAAACCAGTGATAGCATTTCTTCAAGGTCAACAAACTGAAAGAAGTAGTCCATTACAAAGAGAAGTTCACATATCACAGATTTAAAGAGCTTGTGAGAGTGTTTGTGATTGGAGAAGGGTAGGTACTATATACAGTGAAAATCTGGAATCAATGTAGCCCTGTTCTCTGAAAAACTAAATTCCTGTCATTGCTGTCACTGAGTCAGCCTCCTCATTCAAAGAAGAGCAAGAAGATGGGTCTGGTAGCCACACCTGCAATACTAGCACTGCAGACTGAGGTAGGAGGACTGTGAGTACAAGGCCAGCCTGGGTTACATAGTGAGATCCTATCCCAAAAAAAAAAAAAAAGCAGGGGAAGTGAATTGGGCTCCAGTGGCTTATGTTTGTAATCTTACCTACTTAGGAGGCTGAGATTGGGAGGATGGCAGTTGGAAGCTGGAGGCCAGCTAGGACAAAAAGATTCACTGGGCTCAGTTGCACATACCTGTCCTTCCAGCTACATGGGAGGCTAAGATTGGGGGAATCATAGTTCCAGGCCAGCAGGGGATGTGTGTGTGTGAGGGGTGAGTTCATAAGACTCCATCCATCTCAATGGAAAAAAGCTGTGAGGCGTGGTGTGTGTCTGTCATCCTAGCTATGGTGGGAAGCCTAAGATAGAAGAACTTGAGATCCAGGCCAGGCTGAGCAAAAAGCAAGACTTTACCTCAAAAATAACCAGATTTTTAAAAAGGGCTGGAGGCATGGCTCAAGCACCAGAGTACCCGTCTAGCAGTTGCAAAGCCCTAAATTCAAACCTCAATACCACAAAAGGAAGGAAAAAAAAAAAAAAAAACAAAACCAAAAAAGAAAACCGGATCAGGTGAAGTGGCTCAAGCTATCTAGGAGGTAATGATCAGGAATACTGCAGTTTGAGGCCAGCCCAAGGAAAAAGTTCATGAGACCCCATCTCAACAAATGGCTGGATGTGGTGGTACACACTTGCCATCTAAGCTATATGTGAAAGTACAAATAAGAGGACTGTGGCCCAGACATAAAGTGAGACCCTATCTTAAAAATAAGCAACGTGAAAAGGGCTAGAGGAGTGACTCAAGTAGCAGAGCGCCTGTCTAGCAAGTTTGAGGCCAAGTTTCACCTCCCAGGACCAGACAGGAAGGAAGGAAGGGAAGGAAGAAGGAAGGTAGGGAAGAAGGGAGGGAGGACTTTAAGGGATTTCATGTTTTACCTTTGCATGACTATGAATGTATTGACCATGTACTCTTCTTCATTTTTTGTTTTCTGCAGCTCTTCTGCCAAAATATCACTCATGGTACACTGGAGAAGGTAGGGGACCTCTACGTTCCGGTCTCCATCAAATACACCATATAAGGCCTCTCGGTTGTCACGGAAATTATTCACAGATAGGGCTGCCACACACAACCTGCAAGGCAAGAACACTTTTGTGATATGTCTACTCATCTTTCCTTCTGTGTGCCCTATTCAATGCTATTTTTTTAAGTTTTGCAACAGTTTCTTTTTTCATGACTACAAACAGATTAAGAATAGGTAAACTGAGCCAAGTTAATTTGTGTCAATCAATTTCTAAGTGCAGAGAATTATTAACATATATTATACTTAACATATACCTTTACCTATCTCTCTCTTCTTATTTTATTTTTACTGGAGAATGAGAGACATGAGAAAAAATATAAATTTTTGAATTCATATTTACACATGTATCCAATAAATGGCTATTAAAGAGAATCTGTACATCCAACCAGAATAGAGTGAAAACTAAAACACTGGGGGGGGGGCGCGGGAAGAAAACATGAAAAGTATGTAAAAATATATGAAAAGTCTCAAACAACTTTTAAAAGGAATGGGGGGGTGGGAAGAGACACATCAGCATTCGGACACTGGCCAGAACCTGGTGTCTGCCTAGCTTATTCCTGGGAAAAATGCCCAAGTGGCAGAAGAAGGAGCAGCCAGGTGGACAGCAAGGGTCACCTGTGCTGAGATGCAGAGCTGGGAGCTGGGTGGTACCAGGAAGTGCCCTGGAGAGCACTGGAGGAGAGTTGCCCTGAGCCATGGAGCACTGCCAAGTTGGAGCTCAGAATAATAAAACTACTACCAAGTAAGTTAACAGTGTCCCAGAAACAGAAAAGGTGGGCATGGTAGCCCACACCTGCAGCTCCAGCAACTCAGGAGACTGAGACATGAGGATCCCAAGTTCAAGGTCAGCCATGGCTATACAGAAAAGCCCTATCTCTGCAAAACCAAACTAACAAACAAACAAAACACCCAAAGAAAGCAAAAAAGAGACTGGGGGAGAAAAAAAGCCAGGTAGTGGTAAAACATTAAGCAGGCTTGAAAAGAGGAGAGACAGAAAAAACTTAAGAATTTATAGCTGAAATTTCAAATTTGATGAAAATTACAAGAAGCTCAATAAAGAAACATGAAGAGAAAGAAAAACATGAGAGAGAATCCATGATGGCGACTAGGTTATGGAAGCAGAGAGTGTGAACTCTGTGATTCCAAAACCACCCTGAGACATTGGAGCCACACTTGGTGGAAATAAAGCACCAATCAGAATCAGACCTTCGACCACCCTGAACCCCTAGCCTGTGGAAAGCTTCCCCACAACACATTACACTGAGGGCTGCCACCTGCCTCAGCTGTAGCTGCTGGCTCCAACCTGCCTCCAAGACACTTGACAGACCAAACAAGTGAGCACCAGGCATCATGCGGAACTCCCCTAGCCATGCCTGGGGATAAACCTGCACAGCCCCTGGGCAGACTGACCACCCCCCAAAAACAAACAGCGAACTGTAATCTAGCACAACAGCAGAGGGGGCAAGAATGCTGAAAGTGCACCGGAGAAGAGGGAAGAAATAAAGAGCTAATCTCAGCAGAACTATCACTAAACAAACACTGGAAAGGCAGGAAGGCCTAGAGCCCAGGGGTGATTAGCCACTCCCTGAATCAGTACAGGCAGTGATCACAGAGCTCATCAAACAGAAAACCATCATAACACACTGACAGCAGGGGGGCTGACAGAACACTGACCCTGCCCCGAGAAAGCGGGGTGGGGCAAAGAAACAAGCGCCAAGGGTGGAAATCCCAGTGAACAAGCATAGTGAAAAGCCACCTCCAAAGCAGGGCAACTGGTGGACTATAGAGATGATCTCCTGAACCAGAGGGTAGCATGCAAACTTAAACTGCCTCAACTTGCTGGGGGAGAAGGTGACCAAGCAGCTGCAATCAAAGGGTAACACAGCTATCAGCTGGTGGGTGAAATCAGTATCTCTGACCACCCTGCATGATCTGGCAAAGCTACCTCACCTCACAATTTCAATTAAACTGGTGGACAGAAGAACAAAACACTGCTCACAAGCCAGTCACCTGATGAGAGCATGTGAGCTTCTGCTTATATGCCAATACCAGGACTAAATACTGGAGAAGTAATTCCAGAACTTAAACTAAGACCGAAATTCTATTGTTCCTAAACCTGGTGTTTTCTTTGTTTTTTTCTTGTTTGTTTGATTGTTCATTTTTTCCCATTGATTTATTTGGGGTTTTGTTTGTTTGTTTTGTTATTGTGGGTTTTCTATTTTTATTTCTATTCCTATTATCTTTTTTGTTCTTTCTATACTATCTTTACCATCATCATCTTCTCATCTCTACTCTCACCCCTTCGCTCTCCCTCTTTTTCCTGTATAAAATCCATTGCTCCCCTGCTCAATAACTCATTCTGTTCCTTCTGACCCCTCTCTCCCCCAGTCCTCACCTTCCCTTCCCATTCTCCCCCAACATGTCACCAGACTACTCCTCCTTGCTACACACTCATCACCCACTGAACAACCTACTATACCAACTTTACACAATCCCAACCCCCTAACACAAGCACCCTCAAGTACAACAACAGAAATACACCCAAACACACAGAAGGACCACAAAAACCAGCAGCCCCCACAATGCTTCCCCTACTCATCCCACTCAACTTCCCACCTCCCCCTTTAGTGTCACCCTATCCAACTCCCCAAATTTCTATAGCTAGCATTACAAACGTTAACCCCCAACTCCCACTGCTTATAGAAATTACCACCAAGGGGTCTTCTACATAACATATAAACTACTGGTCGGGTATTAAACCTGTGAATTAGTTATTACTAAATTATACCCAGACCAAGGGAAGAAATAGCACACCAACCTAGCTGAAAACCCAAGACAGCCACAAAACAAACATTGGTGACTAAAACCACCAACTAGCCCATCAAGAACATAGATGCACAGTACCAAGTGGAGTGAAGGGAAGAAGAAAAAGTGATGGAAACCACTTTTCTCCCAAAAATAATTTAATACAGGATTCACAAGGAAATGAAGAAAACAGATACCCAATTTCGGAATCCAACAAAAGAAAGATAAATGACACCAAGGAACCCAGTGATGCCCACAAAAACACCCTCAAAGAAAAATCCTGCAAGTAATCACTGAGAACTTCATGGAGATGATACTAGACATAGTTTACCAAAATGTACAAGATGCACTCAAGAAATTTCAAGACACCAAAAATAAAGAACACGAGAAGACACAGAAACAAATAAGTGAAATCACAGGAGCCCTAAATAAACACCAAAGTGAAACAGAGAACACTATAAATATAGAGAGAAATGAATTAAAGATGAAAACAGAAAATATTAAAGAGGAAGTGACCCATGATATGAAAAACCTCAAAAAAAAAGAATCAAACAGAAACACAAAACACAGTGGAAGGCCACTCCAGCAGACTAGACAAAGTGGAAGACACAATCTCAACTCGAAGATAGAATAGAAGTTAAAGGAAAAACTGATGAACTGTTAGTCAACAACTCAAATCCTGTGAAAGGAATATGTAAGACCTCACCGACTCCATCAGAAGACCAAACCTGAGAATCATGGGCATTGAAGGAGGAGAAGAGGTCCAAGCAAAAGGGATTCATAATGTATTCAACAAAATAACGGAAAATGTCCCAAATCTAGAGAAAGTTATGCCCATTCAGGTACAGAAAGCCAGGACACCAAACAGACTTGACCAATCTAGAACTAACCCACGACATATTACCATTAAAACAACAAGCACAGAGAATAGAGAAAGAATATTGAAGCCTGTAAGAGAGAAAAAACAAATAACATATAAAGGTAAACCCACCAAAATCATAGCAGATTTTACAAGAGAAACCTTAAAAGATGAGGTATTCCAGGCACTGAATGAAAATAACTTCAACCCTAGAATACTCTACCCAGCAAAACTATCATTCAAAATAGATGGAACAATAAAATTCTTCCACGATAAGGAGAAACTAAAACAATATATGACCACCAAACCATCACTACAAGAGATACTCCAAGGAATTCTGCACACAGAAAATGAAAGCAAACAAAACCATGAAAGGACAGATGGTATTAAAACACAGGAGAAGAAAAGACAAGGAATCAGAGAGTAACACTGATTCACCTGCACACAAACTCTTAAACAACAAAAACCACTAAATGACAGGCATCACCACATACCTGTCAATATTAACACTGAATGTCAGAAGACTCAACTCCCTCATCAAAAGACACCGTTTGGCAAACTGGATTAAAAAGATCCAACAATTTGTTGTTTACAGGAGACCCATTCATTGACAAAAACAAACACTGGCTTAGGGTGAAAGGCTGAAAGAAGATTTACCAAGCCAATGGCCCCCCAAATAAGCAGGAGTAGCAACTTATCTCAGACAAAGTAGAGTTCAATCTTACATTGATCAAATGAGATAAAGAAGGACACTACTTACTAATTAAAGGGGAAATACACCAAAAGGAAATGATAATTATCAGCCTATGTGCACCAATCTCAGTGTACCCAATTTCATCAAATATACTTTAAAGGACTTAAAACCACATATAGACTCTAATACAATGGTACTGGCAGACTTTAATACCTCCTATCATGAACTGATAGGTCATCCAAACAAAAAAAAAATCAATAAATAAATTCTAGAATTAAATCACACCACTGATCAAATGGACCTGGCTGATGGCTCCAGAATATTCCATCCACCATCTGCCTCTAGTGTTTTCTGTCAGCTTATCCCATCAGCTCACACATCACCTTGTTCATTCTTCACCCCCACAGCACAGTCAGTTCGCAATTTCAGTGTTAGTTTCCCAACTAGAAATGAAGCATTCTGTCCTATGCACTATCTCCCCGGCACCTGGCATAAAGTCTGGCATGTGTGGAAGTTGGGAAAACACTTACAACGAATATGTGCATGAATGAAAGGAAGAAATACCCCAGGTATCAATCTGTCTGGTCCTAAATCTAGAGCTATTTATCATTGTCCAAATGCTGGCCTAGTTTATGGATCTGTGTTTCTTGTTACAAAGATAATATTCACCAAATTCAAATGGGAAGACTTA